CCACAGAGGCAACCTGAGCAAAAACTCAGACCCAAAGTCACCTTCTGCCTTTATTCCATTTACAGGAACCAAGGTTATGGTTTGGTTATGTTACTGAAAATGCTTGCACTTCAACAGTTATGATTCAAAATTCTTTATGCTTTACAAGAGCTTAAAATTACCCAGTTTCCTATTTTCAGTAGATTTATAAAAGCGTCATCCATGTCGTGGTGTTCCATGGCCAGGAAGACGGTATTGATTATGATGCAGATGGTGACGGCCAGCTCAGTGAAGGGGTCTGTCATCACGGTCCTCAGGACCTTCTTTATGCACAGCCACCGAGGGCTACAGTCCCACACCAAGTACTTCGATGCCAAGTTTTTCCCACATGGGAGACAAGGCTCCTGGGATCTTTCTTGTTCTGGAAGAGAATGGAAGGATGGGTAATGTGTTCGCCTGACCCAGCCCAGCTGCTCTCCGCCTGCGTCCGCCCCTCCTCCCTCTTCCCAGGGTTTTTAGAGAAAGGTGGCTAGTCATCAGGTCACAGAGGAGATAATCTCTACAGACAGCTAGAAGGCTGCAAAGTCAAGTGTCTCAGACACAGATGCAGAGACCACACAGATTGGCTACATTCCGTGAGAGAGACAGAGGCAGCGTAGACTCTGCTTTCTCAAGAGAGTGTACAGGAATGGCTACAACTGCACTGGGGTGGCCGGAGCCTGGGAGAAGAGAAGGTCAGAGAAGGGTGGGACGATTGAAAGTACGTGATGGCTAATGTCGATTGTCAGTTTGGCAGGATCTAGAAATACCAAGGGCACGGACCTCTGGGCATGTCTGTGAAGAAATTCCCTAGATTAACAGAGGTGGGGAGACCTACCTTAAATGTAGAGGGCACCATTTCACGGCGGAGGCTTGGATTAAATGAAAGAAATCGAGAACACTAGCAATCCTCTCTCTCTCTTTCCCTCCCTTCTCCCCTCCTTTTCTCTCTCTCTCCCTCCTCCCTCCTCTCCTCCCCTCTCTCCCCCTCCTTCCCTTCTTCTTTCCCTCTCTCTCCTCCTCCTTCCCTTCTTCCTTCCCTCTCTCTCCCCCTCCTTCGCTTCTTCCTTCCCTCCGTCTCTCCCATCCTTCCCTGTCCTCCTTGACCGGAGTCACAATGTGACGAGCTGCCTCTCATTCCTGCCTCTGTGCCCTCCTCATCATGATGCAGCTCTTCAGCTAGAATCACAAAATAAACCCTCCTTTCTTCCTCAGGCGGCCTTTGTCGGGTTATTTTGTTGTCAAAATGAAAAAAAAAGAAAAAAAACATACACAGGCACTCTGTCAGCTACTTAAGCTCAGGCCCTCAGGTACCTGCACCCCTAATTTGCTGGACTCCATTTCAGGGACTCGCAAAGGCCAACTACGGGCATATAATTATTCAAAAGTGCTAAAGGGCCCGTCCACTCCCAGCCTTTCACAGTCTTGAGCATCTGTCTATCCCTTGCCTGGGGCTCCACTGCTTGCTGTTAATCGGGCTAGCAAAGGGTCTTGGCTTAACTATATGGCCTTCTTTGGCCCATACCAGGTTCCTGGCTCTAAATTTGATAACCACTACCACTTCCTGGCAAGGTCTTGAGTATTCTGTTTTTGGCTGACTGTTGTCATTCAGACCTCCTGAGGTTGCCTTGTGAGGGGCTGTCTATACTCTCCAGCCAGGGGCCCACCTGGGGTGGGGGGAGCATAACTCTCAGGAAGGACCATTTCACTCCAGCCACGTTGCTGACATGCTCCTGAGACACGAGGAGTCTCTCCGCAGTATGGCACTGTGGGCTGGTTCCCAAGAAACCTCCTCTGTGAGGGGCTTCTGGAGGGTTGTAAATAAGTCAGGCTTTCCTTCCAAGGGAGAACTTACCCTGCATGGTGATGGTCAGGATGCTGACGGCACTCAGTGCCCTCTGCCTGTGGAAGGGGTCTACATGCTCATCAAAGAGGTCCATTGGCAAGTTCTGGGACAGTCGTTTGGTTTGCTCAAGGAGTTGTGGCTATAAGAGAAAGCACAGCAGGCCTTCTAAAGGCAGGGGTCGACACTCCCCGAATTTCATAAAGACGTCAAATGAAGATGCTGAGCACTGGTACAGAGCGCTCTACTGTGTCTTCACAGCATGTTAGATGTTCAGTGTTCTTTGCCCATGTAGAACAGACCAGAGGAAGGGGATTTAGTCATTCGCTGTCCTTATACACGCACATTTCTGGAGTTTGGCCTTAAGTTTTACGGTTTATTCACTTTCAACAAAGAGCAAACAAAATACTCTCTACCTTAATGATAAGAATAACTTTGAAGGTTTAATAAAATATTAGCATAATTTTTAAAAGAAGAATAATTTTTACTACTGAGCATCACCCATATCTCAATTCTGTGTATCTCATGACCTACTCAGTATCTTTGCTGGGATGACCCATGGGCACCTCAACACTGTCCAAATGGAAATGGCCACCTTTTCCACCTCTGAAGTATGTCCTTTCTTGTCTCAACAAATCACTAACTTTAAGCCACAAGTCTGGAGTCCACTCCATTCAACTCATTCACCAGGCATCACCTTCTCACTTCATCGTTGCTTTTTGATATTTCCTATGAATGGTGAACACTCCCTCCCAGAAGGAGGGAGGCTCCTAAGACTCAGGAAGCTAAGGAAACCCTCAAGATTCATGAGATTTGGAAAATTAAAAGATCCACAAGGCCAAGTCATGAAGATTTAAAACATTTTACTTTGCAAGTGCATATGACAGGTGAGTAGAGTGGCTGTCAGAGGACAGCTTGAAGTGATTGGGTCTCTCCTACCCCACTACTGGGTCTCGGGGATTAAAGTCAGATCACGGGCTTCGGAGCCTTACCTTACCCAGGACCCATCTCACTTGACCTGCTTCCATGAGACTGTAAAAGCAGTAAACAGTTGCTGGAGAAAGCTATGGCTGACTGGATACAGCTGACCATTGACTTCTGGGTATTTAACTTTTGGGAGTCATCACCCATGCTGGGGAGGGATTTTCAATGATACAGGTGTGTTTTAGTCCCCCGATGTGCCTATGAGACACCCCAATAAAATCACTGGGTCACCAAGCTAGGCTTGGATGGAATTCTTTCTTTGAACTGTCACTGATGCCCTACCTGGGTGAGGAGATGTTTTATTCTCCACAGGAAAAGCTACACATTGCTCCAGCCCTCATGCAAGCTGCTGCCACCTTTTGCTTGGGGTTACTGTGGCAACGTCTTAATTGGTTTCCTCTAGTCTCTCCTCCAACCCCCTCTCTTTGATGTGTTTGGCTTGTTGAAAAAGAAATTAGAGTTTCAGACAGAGAGCTTTAAATCATATAACTAGGCTCAAACATATCTTCATTAGTCAAAATAGCAGCTATTACAATCAACACGTTTTTGCCAACAAGAACTAAGTTTGTTTATCCAAATAGCATACAAATCCCTGCTTTGGGGTTCCATGGACTCTCAGAAAGCCTTCTCTGCATTCTGCTGGCTGTGGAATTGTTTCCTGCAAAAAGTTGTCAAGATGCTTGAAGACACGACAGAAGGTTGGTGAGATCAGGTGAATGCGGCAGATGAGACAAAATTGATTCCCTGTTCACTAACTTTTGAAGGCTTGGTTGCGTGGTGTGTTCAGGCTTTGTAGTGGGAGAGAACTGGCCCCTTGCTGTTGGTCCAGGCCAGCTGCAGGCGGTGCGGTTTGGGATGCACCTCCTCTACTGAGCACACCCCTCACATGTGATGTCGTCGCTTCAGGAAATGAGACTGGCGGCAGTGCCCGGGACTTTTTCTGGAGCGGGCTTGGTTTTTGAAAGCGCTTTGTCATAACCAGTCACCACTGGATGTTGTATGTATCTGGTCCTCGGATGTCACAGTTCAGTAGAGAAACGGTCTGTTGTTGTATAACATGAGTTCAAAACATGTTTTTTAGATTTTCAGTCAGCTCATGAGGCACCTACTGTTGAGTTTTCCCAGCTCTCCAGTGTGCTTCAAATGTCAGATGACCTTAAATGGTCCCTGTTGAGCCCATTGACAACTTCTCCTCAAGCTGGAAAAGGAGGCGCGTCGATGGTTGCTGCTCATCAACCACCGCCCACCCCGATGGCTGGCCACCATGCCCTTCACCTTCAAGCCTCTTGTCTCCTTCGCAAGGCTTACTGGACCTGCACTGCACAGTCACTAGGAGTCTCTGGGCTGGTCACTGATGTCATGAGTCGTCTCTGCTGCTTTGTGACCCATTTTAAAAGCAATCAAATTAAAAAAAAAAACCACTCAAATTTTCATTGTGTCTAACTTTGTTTCCACGGAGTAAGGCAGAGATTCTCCACCTGCGGGTTGCTACTGTTGATATTCTGATCCGCCCCTTGAAATCCCACCCCCTTGGCACCACCCTGCGTCCTGACGTAAAGCCTCATTCTAAGGAAAAACTCCTCCCCTTCCTCTCTCTTTCACTTTTCCTCCCTCGAGGTTTGCACCCTCGACCTCTCTCTCTTCTTCTCTCTCTTTCTGTCTCTCTCCTTCCTGTCTTTCTCTTCATCTCTCTATTAGAATAAACTCTCCACGTGGATGCAGCATCTGGGTTGTGAATTACTGGCTTCCACCTCCATGCCCGCATGCTGTGCATCTGCCCAGCCGGAGGCTGCATCTGCCCAGCATGTTTTCCTGCATGTGTGGGATACCCTCTGGGTCCCCCACTCGGCGCCCAGTGTCACCAGGCAATTGCACTGCTGGCAGTCTGAGGAGCTCTGGAATCCTGTACCATCTGCCGTTCTTCAGGCTGGAGCACCGTTGGGAACTCTTCACCCTGCGGGATCGATAAGATCCCTCCTTTCCCTTCTGGCCATTTTCCCACAAATGAGGATTCGTCTTGTGTCACTCGCTGGTACCATGTGTCTTTCAGCCTCTAAGCCTATCGGCCATGTCCCTGTGCGACAGCATCTGGAGATGGCTTGTCCCCCTCAATTCCATGGCCCATAGCCTTTGTGACGACGGTCCATTAGCTATCTTGCGCCATTATCGTTGGCCCTCGCTGACCCTGTGGGACGCTGGAGGTCAGTCGGCTGGGCCTTATTGTGGAAAATGCACCTATGGCCTCCACCCCTACTGCCGCCGACCCATGGCTTGGGTTTGTACCATGCTGCAACCGGAGTGGGGGGGTCCCTCTCTCCCACTCGGCTACTTCTCTGTCATTCTTTCACAGTCTACTTCCTATGTGCAAACGGAAATGTATGATTGATATGGCCATTTATATTTCTTTCTAACTTTTTTTTTTTTTTTTTGGTTTTTTGAGACAGGGTCTCTCTGTAGCTTTGCACCTTTCCTAGAACTCACTTGGTAGCCCAGGCTGGCCTCGAACTCACAGAGATCCGCCTGCCTCTGCCTCCCGAGTGCTGGGATTAAAGGCGTGCGCCACCACCGCCCGGCCTCTGACTAACTTTTAAATGCTTCAATTTATCTGTTCCTTATCTGCTTAGTTTATTTTGGGGGGAAAAATGAACATGTGGTCAGGCACCATATTTGGAAAGCAGGTATGCTCACCACTATACCACCAATGCCGCACCAAGGCACCATATTAGATAGGGGCGATCACACGATCAGGGGCCACCATTTTAAATAAGGGCAATCATGTGATCAAGGTGACATCTTAAATAAGGGCAACCACATGGTCAAGCCGCCATCTTGGCTATCTAATGCCCATTGACATTCCAGGAAACTAGACCCAATATTGTGAATTGATACTTATTAATAAAATGGTTCTGCAATAAGACACTTGACCTTCTTTTTATGCAGAACAAAAGAGGTATTATATAACCTTAAGAAATTATTTTTATTTCTATATAAGTCATTCAGGATGGAGTTTCTGGTCCCCTAAGAGAGTCCTTTTCCTTTTCTCAGAGTTGGGCCTTATCCTGACTCACAAGCTGCTTTCTCTTGTTCTCATTTGGCCTTGGAATCTTTCTCTTGTCACTCTCCTTTGCCTTCTCAGGAGACAGCTTTAAAAAATTATTATTTCTATATAAGCCATTCAGGATTATAATCTGGCTGTACTCAATGATCAGAACTACAGCTACAGGGCCTTAAAAAGGGTAATAGATTCAGATATCACTGCCAACAGCTTAAAGAATGTCTCTCCTTGCTCAAGGTCTGTTCAGGCTTAAGAATGTGAGCCTCCCTGTCCTTGCTAACTTCATTACGCTCTAACTGACTGGGAAACCTGTATATTCAGATAAAGTCAGATATAGGCTCTCAAAGCTATAAATACATCTAACAGATTTTGTTCCCCCAGTCCTCAAACACCTGTAGAGATCTGAGAATACGGCATTTAATATAAAAGCCTTTTTATGATAAAGAGACATGTCAGCTCCTGGCAGCATCCTGTATCTCCTTCAAGAAGACGGATGGCCCCAGAAGAACTTCCGCCCAGAAGCTTATGGCAAGGCTGGCCATGCAGTAAAAAGCTGGGATCCTGTCCAGACTGTGAATAAGCGGAACAGTGGAGGACCCATTGCCTCACACTGCAAAGTCAAGGTGGGTCAGTCTCCCAAATAGCTACTCCACAAAAAAATCTGTCAGATCTTCTGGACCTATCCACTGAACAAATGCTGCCTTTGGGGCCTCTGTCTCTGAATGACCACAGAGAGACTTGGGATTGCTGCCTAGGTAACTGGAAAGCTGTCACACTTCTTAAATTTATCCTTCTTAGATCTGACAATGTTTGATGACTAGGGTATCAGTTTAACAGCCCCAATCCCAAGAATATGTATATATATGTATATGTATATATATTACAGACAGGTATGCCTCATTCACAGACTTCATGGTACAGGATAGACTGGTTTCAGATATAACTCCAGAAGTTCAAAGTTTTGATACTGATAAATGCAGCTTTGATAAACTGATAGAACATTGACTACAAAGAGTTCCTAAGAGTCCTTACATGGATTTTTAACCTTTTTGCCATGATGTAAATCCATTTCAGCTATCTTAGAGATACTACAGGCTCCTGGAAAAAGATCTGCTACTGCATCAAGAAATCTGGTCTGCTGAAAACTAACATCTCCAGAGTCCATTTCTGACCCCACCTATTTTTCGAGCACACTTTGCAGATTCGCTGTTCCGGCCTGACCTCCAGAGAAACAGCAACTGCCATGGCCTCTATACTCCTGATTTGGTGTGCCGTCCCCCAAGCTCCTGGAACACCACTGCTGCAGCCTGCCTCCTCGGCTTCCTCAAGGAACGCTCCTGAGATTTTCCGCTGTGTGACTCCCAGTTCCCCCGCCCCACTCCGCCCCTTGTCAGCCTGAAGTAGCCTCAAGAATTCAGTGCCTTTGTTCCCCCACTTGCTTCCATAACTCACTTCTTTTTATAATAATCAAAACAGAGGAATGTTAACATTCTAATTCACCCCTTGAAATCTCACCCCTTGGCACCACCCTGTGTCCTGACATAAAAGCCTCATTCTAAGGAAAAACTCTGCCCCTTCCTCTCTCTCTCTCTTCTTATTATTTTTTTCTCTCTGTCTCTCTCTTTCCTATCTTGCTCTTCATCTCTCTATTAGAATAAACTCTCCATGTGGATGCAGCATCTGGGTTGTGAATTACTGGCTGCAGCCATCATGCCCGCATGCCCGCATGCCGTGCATCTGCCCAGTCCATTGCTGCATCTGCCCAGCATGTTTCCCTGCATGCTCAGGATACCCCCGGGGGTCCTCCTGCACAATAATTCATAACAGCTACCCCTTTGAGGGGTTGAATGACCCTTTCACAGAGGTCACCTAAGACCATCAGAAAATACAGATATTTACATTATGATTCATAATAGTAGCAAAATTACAGTTATGAAGTAGCAACAAAAACAATTTTATGGTTGGGGGTCACCACAGCATGAGGAACTATTAAAGGGTCACAGCATTAAGAATGTTGAGTACTGATATAAAGTAAATATAAAGTATATAACAAGCACTAAGTCATTAGCAAGAAAACAAAGCAGGAAATGAGCATTAAAATGATGTATAACTAGCCAGGCAGTGGTGGTGCAGGCCTCTAATCCCAGCACTCAGGAGGCAGAGACAGGCAGATCTCTGTGAGTTCAAGGCCAGCCTGGTCTACAGAGCGAGATCCAAGACAGGCTCCAAAGCTACACAGAGAAACCCTGTCTTGAAAAACCAAAGGGGGAAAAAAGATGTATAACAAATCTTTGCTTCTTAAGATTATATTCCAGTAACAAGCAATAAATTTTGACAATGCAAAATCACAGTTACTATTTTATCAACCTACATCCAGGATTTCAAAAACATGCATCTCCAGCTGGGCCTGGTGGTGCATGCCTTTAATCCCAGGACTCAGGAGACAGAGGTAAATGGATCTCGGCAAATTTGAGACCAGCCTGGTCTACATAGCAAGCTTCAGGACAGCCAGAGCTACATATCGAGACCCTGTCTCAAAAAAAAAAAAACCACATATCTCATTCTCTTGATTAAAATCCTTCACAGCTTCCTACCTCTTACCCTCAGCATGAAGACTGAATGAACTCCTTGGCTTGGCTTTTTCGGACCTTTTGTGATTGCCCCATCTTACTAAGCTGGACTTGCCATTGTCCCCTAAACACACAGGCACACACATTTACACATTCATGTGTACACACATACATGCATACACACATATATGCACACACACATACATGCACATGCATACATACATACAAGTGCACACACACATGTGCACACACATACACACACACATGCTTTTAAATGGGCCATGTTCTCCTGCTCATCTTGCTTCCAGGCCTTGGCATGCACTGCTTTCTCCACTGGCAACACCTGCTCTTCCTTCTGCCTGGTGAATCCCACTTGGCTTAGACACCACTCTCCTGAGAACCTTTTCTGATTTGCTTCTAATTCGCTATTCTTCCTCCAGCTCCAGTCATGATGGTTTGTGTCACACAGATCCTGTTGGTTGCCCAACACATATGTCCCAGGGCCCCACCTTGAATACTTCCTCTCGTAACCGAAAACCCCCCAGTCCCATTACACAGCAAGTCAAAAACACAGCACAATCATGATCCCCAGTTTCTAGGAATCTGTAACCAATGATGGGCCAAAATTAATATATCTATAATTCAATATAAAAATAAAACAGATACAGATATAGATGACAGACAGATAGATATTCTCAAACACCCTAACTCCACGGGTTTTAACTTCCCGCTACCCTAGGTGGTAATGGCTCCATAATGTGCTTTCACTGGCTCCTTCCTTTCCACATGGCACACTCTACTCTCTGCAGGGGACATCTGCTCAGGTAATCTACCCACACTCTAATGCCTTTGGCTTCGATTCAGAGGGAGCCAACAGCCACACTGCCCCTTCCAAATTGTCTGTGCCAAAGGACACACCCTTAGCCTGTCTGTGGCTAATCTACAAAGTTCCATTTGGGAGACCTAAGACCAGGCTCACGTGTTCAGCTCTTGGTCCCAATCTGACCTCAATATACACTGGACAAAGTCCACTGCCATCCTAAATTCAGAACTTGCAGTTTTAATAGCTAAACTGATTTAGATGATGTGATAACATGGAATGGAGGATGGTCCAAGGACCCCCTCCTATATAATTCATCTCAAGCCTTTCTCATCCTAGCCACTCAGCTCTCATTATGCCAAAGCCTGAATGCCAAACATTTCAACTGGGTGTCTGAACCTGCTGCTTGTAACTGAGATACAAAGTCTTTCTGTTCATGGGACTCCATTGTCTTATGTCTATGATCTGCCTTTGCTTCTGCCCACCAACTTGGATGCTTTTGCTTGTATTTTCATAGTTTTCTGTTAGATGTCCTCTAGGTTACAAGTATTTATATTACTGCCAACTTGATATCTTCATAAGAGAAAAGAATACTTGTTAAGCTTTTCAGGTTGTCTGTCTCCATCTCCAGACACACACAAACTAGTATGGATATGTAGGTCACTGGGTTCAGTCTTAGAGAGATTCAAATGTCTTTTGAGCATAAATAATATTAGAAAATCATCTTGTGTTTTACTTCACTGAAAAGCTGGCTCTGGAGACAGGAGTTTTGCCTGTCCACTTTAGACCCAAGCGTGTTTGTCTAAAAGTTTTTTCCAACATCTCTTTTCATGACTCTGTGACAGAGAAAACTACAGAACAGCCCAGGACAAGACATTGTATGCAGATAAGAGTCAAATCATTTCCAACAGGGATTGCTATTATTTATCTTAAAAAGGCATTTTTTTTTTTGTTTCAGTTTTTTAAGACAGGTTTTCTCTCTGTCACCTTGGCTATCCTGGAACTTGCTCAGCAGACCAGGCTGGCCTTGAACTCAGAGATCTACCTGCCTCTGCCTCCTGAATTCTGGGAATAAAAGTGCACACCACCACAGTGCGGTTTTACATTTTTTAATCAAGAGAAATTTACATCTAAATATTGAAATGGCTAAATTTAATCACAGATTTCTAACTTTCTGAAGACTCAAGATCATGGATATATGTGAAGCTATTGCTAGAATGTAAGCTTTCTTTATCTCAGGATCTGTAATACCATTGGGATGTGATTTTAAAAAGCTGTAAAATCCTAGGTAGAGAAAAAGTTAGCTTAAAATTTGTAACAAAAATGTTAATAGTTGAAAGCCTATGTACAGATAATCGTAATTTGCTACAGCATGCCATGAATATAACTTAGGTTCAACTCTTGTTTAGAAAAATATGAGAAAATATTAAATAGGTTTGAGAAAAATGTTCAAGTGGATATAAATTATAAGGTTATGGTTTTGGTTTAAGAGATGGGGTAAATATTTTGAGTAAAGATAGTTTTGCTTGTTTTTAGAGACAAGAGTTTTTCTTTATAGCCTTGGAACTTGCTCTGTAGACCAGGCTGGCCTCAAACTCACAGAGATCTGCCTGCCTCTGCCTCCTGAGTATTGGGGTTAAAGGTGTGTGCCACTATTACCCAGCTAAGGATAGTTTTTTTTTTATATGATGATTTTTGCCCTAAGAATAAAAAAAATAGGCCGGGCGGTGGTGGCACATGCCTTTAATCCAAGCACACGGGAGTCAGAGGCAGGCAGATCTCTGTGAGTTCGAGGCCAGCCTGGTCTACAGAGCAAGTTCCAGGACAGAGAAAGTTACACAGAGAAACCCTGTCTTGAAAATCATAAAATAGTAGATGAAGACAAAGCCACAAAAGCTAAAGCCAGATCATAAACGGTCTGAATAAGTTATACAAGGTTTACAGAAAATAAGACTTAATAACATGTGTTTGATGATTAAGGTTTATAAATCACTAAGGTTATAATGGTCTATTCATGCTAACAAAGACTGATTTAAAGGTGTATATCTAACCACTTAAGTCTTTGCTAACTTTGTTAATTTTTAGCTATTTGGAGAAACTGAGTTATTTTAAAAAAACTGTGTTGTAAGAGAACACTATAAAGGATCAGGAAAATGAGGTTCCCTGTCTCTCCATGGACTGTGTCTATGGCTTAAAAATGATACTGATGCTAAAAGATCTTCAATTCAAAATTGTAATTTTTAAGACTCAAAATCTTAACAGGGATAAAATTATAAAATTCTAATCTTATAAAAGCTGCTAAATTGTTAAAGATAATTAAAACATAAAAGTTAAATAAATGATGGTCTGTCCTCATAAAATCCAGCCAGTTGTACAATTGCATTTAACCTTACTAAACAGAAACTATGATAATCTTAATGTAAAAACTTCTCCTCACTAACTTTGTCTCTTAAAGTTCTCCCACAAAGTTGTGCAGTTACCATCTCCTGCCTATAATCTCTGCCATCTGCTAAGTTTTATCGTGGCCCCTGGAAGGATGCTACTCTGAGACATTCTGACGTCAGTCCCTTCTACACCCCCGACACACACTTCATCAGCGTGAAGCAGCTAAGAGAAGCCAGTGCCCCAACCAGCTGGAAGTGGTTCAAGTGATCTCTGAGAGGGGTCTAACGGGACCTGGACTGGCCAACTCATCTCTCTTTGTCAGTCTAGACATTGTTCTCAGAACTAAACAGCTGGACTGAAACTCTCTTTGCATCAGCTAACCTCTGACTTCCCAAGCTCTCGGCTTATCCTTCAGAACCAACTGGACTCCGGCTGTTGTGGTATTCCAAGACTAGATCTGACCGCTGCTGAGGATAGGATCTGTGCCCTCCTCCGTGAACAATGCTGCTTCCACACCAACAAATCCTAACTGATTTAATACGGGGCACAAGGACCAGACGTAAATTCAGCCACAGGCCTCCTGTGGGGGGGGGCTGCTGGGTCCCTCCCACTCTGGCTTTTCCCTTTGATAACTTCCTCCTTATTATCCCTGAGCTAACATTTTCACCCTGTCTTTTAAATGGCTTACTTATTGAACTCCCCACTAGACCCAAACAAAATTTTCCACACAGTGCCTCCCGATGGCTCTCACCCTCCAACAGCTCCATTTGCTCCTGATACATCTGGGAAAGACCTTTTATGCTGTGGAGAAACTCTGGCTGAGGGAACCATCCTCCCTTTTACTCCAGGACAGACACAGTCTTCAGTCAGTCCTATCTT